CCTCACCGTCTCACCTGTATTCCGTCATTCGCTTTAGTATCCAATACCTTCTACACCTCACCGTCTCACCTGTATTCCGTCATTCGCTTTAGTATCCAATACCTTCTACACCTCACCGTCTCACCTATATTCCGTCATTCGCTTTAGTATCCAATACCTTCTACACCTCACCGTCTCACCTGTATTCCGTCATTCGCTTTAGTATCCAATACCTTCTACACCTCACCGTCTCACCTATATTCCGTCATTCGCTTTAGTATCCAATACCTTCTACACCTCACCGTCTCACCTGTATTCCGTCATTCGCTTTAGTATCCAATACCTTCTACACCTCACCGTCTCACCTATATTCCGTCATTCGCTTTAGTATCCAATACCTTCTACACCTCACCGTCTCACCTGTATTCCGTCATTCGCTTTAGTATCCAATACCTTCTACACCTCACCGTCTCACCTATATTCCGTCATTCGCTTTAGTATCCAATACCTTCTACACCTCACCGTCTCACCTGTATTCCGTCATTCGCTTTAGTATCCAATACCTTCTACACCTCACCGTCTCACCTATATTCCGTCATTCGCTTTAGTATCCAATACCTTCTACACCTCACCCTCTCACCTGTATTCCGTCGTTCGCTTTAGTATCCAATACCTTCTACACCTCACCGTCTCACCTGTATTCCTTCGTTTACGTTAGTATCCAGTCGCTTTCATACTCACCGAGAACTCGTCCTTACCGATTAGATAGACAGCGGTGTGTAAACCTGGCTGTCGTTCCTGAAGTTTACTGCCTTTCATAAAGAACTGGACGTAGGATTCCGATAAAATGACACAAATTGAAAGAGGGAACGGGTACACTAGTATGGGAGTCCAATATAGAGATGCATGTCGCTGACTCTTCATCATAAACACTGGAATCAGTATCGCGCGTGCACTTTTACAGCTAAAGCATACCGAAATATGAATCCGTCGTTACGACAGCCGAACATAATTTATGCTCTCTATTATAACACATCCTGATTGTTCTGTTTACCAGAACTTCCTGTTCCCCTACATTAGAAGTCTATCGACGTTTCGGATGCACGTATCACATCCGACGTTAAAGTCGATGAGTGAGCCAAGAAATAAACCGAGAATAGACAGCTTTCATGGCTGACTCTTCTCAGTCCTGAAGATGGAAGCGGTATATCCCTCTGAAACATCGGTATAATTCTTCCGAACTACATGGTGCTACAACCAAACTGTTATAGTCTTCTATTCAGCACCTTTGCTGATTTCTGACTGTCCTTTCTGTTGTCTGGAGTCCAGCCGGTTGTTGCTACTCCAGTTTTGTGAATTAAAATACAGACAAACGCTGTTATAACGTCGTTCAAGTACCGGAGAAATTAAAACGTTAATAACGAGTGACGTACAAACGGATGAATGTATGAAATCAGATTTCAAGAAAAAATATGTAGGATCATTTTGTAGAACACTAAAATTCACTTTAAATACGAGATAAACCTTACAGTACATACAAAAATTATAACTTTGGTGATATATACATATTTTATCGGGTTAAATGTATATATTTTCTGATGGTATTGAGCTGTGCTTGCCACATGCTTTTACGCTGGTTTCCTGCTCGGTTTATTGTTCGGCCGTGAAGATGGAGGCAATATATTCCTCCGAATCATCAGTTGAATTTCAACAGATAGACGACGTTATATCCCAGAAGAAAGTACCCTTCGCAAGTACGGCTGTAAGAACTTCAAATCCTACACAGTTCCTCTGTCCTTAATGCTCCCTGATGATCAATAAAAGCAGTTTCAAACGGCTTAAAAGTAAGTTTGTAAGCATATTTTCTAGCTCCCCCCCCCCAAACGGAAAAATCCTGGCTGCATCCATGATACGGGTATTTGAAAATGGTCGGCATGGCTTAAGACGCAGAAATTAACGGGCTGAAGGGAATTGCATAATGAGAAGCTTCATAATGTCACGTGTTGGGTGGTACGCGTGACAAAATAACGGGTTTTAGATCGCATGATTGGATTTATTGGCACTTCGGCTACAGTCTCTCTTAGTTACAATCAGTATAGCGCTATCGCTGATTTACACAATTTACAGTTCACCGTTAAAACATGCGCTAGGATTCTCAGTCTTCACTAGTCGTATCCTGGTAACGGAATTAAAAGAGTCTCACTGTGACTAAATCCTTTAATCACACTAAGGCTGTGGCCACACGAGCGCACAAAATGCGTCCGTTGTAACGAACGTCGTGACGTCCGTTGTGGAAATAAACAGGAGAGGCGAATGCTACGCTTTCTTCTGGCTCCATTGCAGACAAAAAACTACGCACCACATTCTGCAACTGTGTGCTGTCCTCAGCAACGTCCGTCATAAAGTACGTTCGTTGCAACGGACGTACCTCGTGCGCTCGTGTGGCCCCAGCCTAAGTCTTCACAGGCCGACTTCTAATTCTTCTTCAACTACGAACTTCCCGTGGCTATCTCGTACCGACAGCCGAACTCAACTGCCGGTCCCGTTCTCTCAACTCAGAAACTAGCACTTCAGATCACTATGAAGTCGTCTTGCCATTTCGTCTTCAGTCAATCTGTCCTCCCTATGTCCTAATCTGTATTCAACTGCTTCAAGCAAATGTCAAAGTCAAAGTCACATTGCGACTGACGGTCACTCAGTCAGTCTTGCTGTCGATCCCCATCTGGGGCTCGTGACCAGATATTTATTACTGTTTTACAGTTATGGTCTTGTTATTGTGAGGCGCCCTCTCTGACGAGAGGACGGGTCTGTCTTTTGTTAGAGTCATTGTCTGCAGTAGTAAGTCATTTGTCATAATGTAAAAGATATTTACATTTTACACATTAAACATGTTAAAAAAGTATATAAAATATATACAGGGCTTCTGTCAGTCCAGGCCCAGCACAGTAGATTATACCCTATTTCTAGTAGCTTCCGCTACAACAGCAGCCTAGTCACTTGAACGGTCGTATGCTTGACCGCCGCAAAGTATGGGAGAGATCAGAAATGTATACACAATTTTCAGACCGAACGTATGAAGGGAATAGACTACATAGAAAGAAAGTTATAGGTTAGGGGATGGTTTTGATAGTGAAATAGATCTTAAAGAGCTGGCGTATAAGATGTAAACTGAATTTATCTGGCTTATGATAGGCTCAAGTGGCTGACCCTTGTAAACATGGTAATGGGCCTTTCTTAAAAGGATGGGACTTTCTTGCTTGGCTGAGTTGTTGTCTTCCCAAAACGGACTCTGCTCTCCCTGATTTTTATCGCATTTGTGTTTCTTCGCTCATCTTTGATCTTGTCTGTACTCCTTCCTCCCTTATACTGATGTGTCAGACTCTGTACCTATTCTTATTTACAACTGTAAAGTATGACTGTCCACACGATCGCTCACTGAACCCATGATTTATGTATCAGATTCCCTTTTGACCGTGTTCCCCTTGTACGGTGTTATTTTTGTTTCCACTGCGTTTTCACGCACCTTTATCAGTCACGATCCCTGTGTAAGCCCCACATTCATCCCGCCCTCCAGTCACTCACTTCTATCTGAAGCTTAACGCATATTTGTATATGCATGGATGACGCTGATAAGAGCTTGCCAAACAGTCTACCGATTGCATCGATTTTAGATCACAGCTATAGCTAGAAACATCATCAACAGACCTTTTATATTATCTATCTAAAAACATCTTTGAGGGTACGCCATATTCTGAATAGGGAACTTTACGGAAGAATAGCCCTGTGTGTTGAACGAGATGTCTGATATGGCGATTTCAGTTCGCATCTGTTTTGAAAACACGATCTAGTAACTTCCTAATGACGTAACTATCCACTTCACTATTTGATAACGACGCTCTTCTAAAGGGTTGGAACTTAGCTGGATAGTTACAAATCTTAATAGAATATTCAGAATTATTAGGTTTTTGGGCTTTGTCCATCGTCCGATGTGCTGAAAACTATAGAGAACACAACGTTTCAGAAACTGGATCTCTTTCCATCCTCAGGTGAGATGGGAGACACGTGCTCTGTTGGGTCCCTTAGGAAGAGCTAACCTCAATCACTGGATGATCATATTAAGGAGGATGAAAGGGAAATGTAGCATGCATGAGAGACAAGGAAAATATTTACAAAGTCCTAGTACCTACTACCACTCGGCGCTACAGCCCTGGGTGAGCCTTGGCCTCCTTTCAACCAGTCTCCAGACCAATTCGTGCTGCCTTAATAATGGACCCACGCATGATGACCCGAGGCTGGTTGTTAGGTTTCTGAACAAAATTATTTTTACAGGATAAGGTTGTAAGCCTCATGCCCAACCCCCAACCTGGAGGACCAGGCTGGGGCCACACGAGAGCACAAAATGCGTCCCTTGTAACGAACGTCGTGACGTCCGTTGTAGAAATAAACAAGAGAGGCGAATGCTACGCTTTCTTCTGGCTCCATTGCAAACAAAAAACTACGTACCGCATTCTGCAACTGTGTGGTGTCCTCAGCAACGTCCGTCATAAAGTACGGTCGTTGCAACGGACGTACTTCATGCGCTCGTGTGGCCCCAGCCTTAGTCTGGACTCTACCCTTTGACCTTTCCGGCATGGGTGACTACCAGTAGTTAAACTACCGCCGGCATAGCTCTGCAGGTCACAGAGTCACGCAAGCCCCACCACCACGACAAGGTGGAGACACCTTTGGGGGGTACAAAGTCCTAGTGGAAAACCTAAAGGAAAGAGACACATGGAAGATTTAGGTGCACATGGGAAGATAATTTTAAAATGAATCTTAAACATTGTAGGATGAGAGTGTGCAGATTGGATTAGTCTGGCTTTGGATAGGGACCAATATCAGATTGTTATGAACACGGTAATGGAAATTTCTTGACTAGTTGAACAACTGTTAGCTTCTCGGGAAAGACTCTGCTACATGGAGTTAGTTGGTGTCATACGTTCACAGTCTGAACTAATAGCTTGGATGTTTTCTTTTAACAGAAAGTCGAACGCTGGAGCTGCATTCGCCAGATGGAGTACACAGCTGTGTACTGCGAGCTTCAGACCCCAATGAAGCGACCGCCTGGTTCAACACCCTACATTCGGCACTGAATGTGTTAACCACGCAGGCATTGCAGGAAGCGAACAGAGCGCTGGGAGCTGTTCTCGGGGAGCTGCAGCACATAGGCTGGCTGGCACGGAAGTCTGCCTCCACGGAGGTAAGTGCAGTTGTCCCGCGGTTAGCGATGTTAACTGCTTCCAAGACGATCAGGGGTTTAATTTTGACTCTAAAACATAGTTTATAATATTTAAACGATCAATCTTAACAAATACACGTTATGGGAACATAATGATGAGCTGGGATTGCTAAGTTGGTATAGCTACGGGTTTATCGGCCGGGGTTCGAGTTTTCTTTTCTTCACAGTATCTAGACCGACTCTGAGGCCCAGTGGGTACCGAGGACTATTCCCCCAATGGTAAGCAGCAGGAGCTTGAAACTGACCACTCACCTCTATCTAGTACCAGAGGTCAAGAATGGTGGACCTATACCTTCATTTCCCAAACTGAAGGTAAAGTTGCCCCTGTGCTTAACTGATTAAGCAGTATGCCATGAAGACGTGTAGGGGAGTGGGGTTATAGGTCTACTGTTCTTGACCTCGGCAGTAGATTGAGGTGAATGGTCAGCTTCACGCCTTTGCCTCCAGGGAAATCCCTTCCGGTATGCACTGAATAGGCAGAGTGGGCCCCAGAGCCCATCTGGACGCTGTGGGGAAAATAAGTATCTTGACCCTGCCGGGATTCGAACCCCGACTGTCCGTCTCATAGTCCATCACTATGTCGACTGAGCTATCCCGACTCCCTCACATTCAGTAGAGCTTGGGGAAGCAAAAACGAAAAAGGAAACATGTCTTGGTTACTCTGTGCGACTATCCGTTACATTACTTGGGATATTTAATTTTAATTTTTCGAGTAATACACGACAGCTTAAAGAAATTTTGCAAAAGGGGCAGGGATTTACACTGTAATGGATTATTTCGTTTTCTTGCAGTTATTACTTTTTATTGATACAATTAAGATGAACATTATAACTTATCAGCATATTCCAGACAACACCAGGTAGATCAGTAAATATGTATCATATAGCCTGGGATAAGGAGCCGGGGTAGCATAGTCAGTATAGCGACTGGCTACGGGCTGGTCAGCAGAGAGGCCGGAGTTCGAGTCCCTGTAAGGTCAAGAATTTTCTCTTCTCGAAGTCGTCCAGACTGGCTCTAGGGTCCACCCAACCTCCTATCCAATGGGTAGTGGGGGCTCTTTCCCCGGGGTTAAAGCGGCCGGGGCGTGAAGCTGAGCACTCAACTCCAGCTAGTGCCAAGTTCAAGAAAATGTGGATCAATACATCAACTCCTCCATATGCCTTCATGGCGTAGTGCTTAATTAGTTAAGCACAGGGACAACGCTACCACAGCCTGGGATTTGACTCAACATTTAAATCTATAAAAGTGAAACATGGTTAAAAAAATATTTCCTGCTATTCAGTAAAATTTCCATTCTGTGTTCTGTGTGGTAGTGAAGTTGAGTATGATGTTTTTCCTTCAAGATAAATGGCGTCTTCAGTGTTCACTCTGCCTCTTTCCTGCCCACCATCATTGTAGTCTGTGTTGAAACCACTCTCCCAAAACTGCCAGAGCACTGAAGAGAATGAAATAAAACTGGTGTGACAGTTGCCACTGAGGGGAAAAGAATTTGAGCATCCTCTGCAGTTCAATGGGCTATTAAAATTCTTCAGTCATAAATTTGAAATAATGGGGGGTAGTAATAGACTAATGTAATGACAGCATACCGTCTCCATCTTGTATAAAAATGTGTTACTCCCTTTTGCCTATGTCCCTGTACGTAGCAGAGTAAGAGGATTTTGATGCAACTTCCCAAGCCAAAACTAATGGCCCTCAAGGGACAAGTATTCTCTTTTAATGTGCAAGAAATTTGTAATAATTGATTCAAGCACAGGAGATTTGATATAAATATTTCTGTTTCCCCAGAACTGAGAACTAGACCGTGTGCTCAGTTGCATTTGCAACATTTATTCTGTTGTTTCGTTTGTTGAGATTGAGATTCCAAGAGTTGTCACTATGAAGATTACTGCCTCCTGGGAACATTTGTTATGCTCTGCCAGATTAGATGGCAACGTCCCAGTTGACAGCAATCTTCATCTACGTCTAACTGTATAAAGTATAAAACCTGAGGAAGGAAACAGATCCATTTTCCAAGACTTTGTATTTCCTAGTCTCTAGAATACCAGAAGATAGACAAGTCCAAAAACCCAGTGAGTCTGAATATTATACACCAATGTTAGAACCCTTTAGAACAGTGTTTCTCAACAGCTAGGCCGGGCATCAATGTTAGTTGGCCCTCTTCTTATGGAAAAAAGAATTTACTGGGCCATGGTCCAACAAAGAATGAGAACCACTGCTTTAGAATCTACTGAAACATTCTGATTAGTTTTATCATTCAAACATCAGCAGTTCAGTACAGTATTTTTAAACCTCAAGTTCAAATCATTATCACAGCTGAACTTTGCATGCTTAACTCCTTGTGAATGCAACTTTGTATATGTTGAAAACATGAAACACATTTATTTCTTCGTGTGGTAAGGAAAAGAAAAAGGCTATGGCTCTCAGTTACACCACTGCTACACGAAGAGATATAGTTGTTGGTCTTGTGTCTGAATTTTGAACCGTGAACAGAGTAGGTGTTTATAGATAGTGATTTTCATTTATCATGTTGCAGAGTGGGCGGGTGAATTCAGAAAGCAGCGATGATCCTGAACGTTGGCAGTCAGTTTTTGCAGCCGTTACAGAGAGAGAGTTAAGATTATATGAATCTGCACCTTGGAGCCCAGAAGCTTGGAGTGCCCCTGTTGACACATGTCCCCTTCTGTCCACAAGGTTTGAATGCCATAGCATTTTGATTACAATGCAGTTTAAATTCGCATGGGGGGGTGGAGTCCAGCTGGGTCCAATTGGCATGTCAGCCACTGACTGGCCTATTGTACCTGCCCCGGGTGATTATGATGATGGAGAATTTGGTGGAATGAAGATTGCCAGAGAAACTGAAGTACTTGGAGAAAACCTGCCCCATCGCCATTTTGCCCACCACAAATCCTACTTGACCAGATCTGGGATTGAACCTGGGCCAGCACGGTGGGAAGCCAGCGACTAACCGCTGGAGCTATGGCGTGGCCTTACAATACAGTTATGCATTAATGTGACACATCTGTTATTCTGTTTCTCTGCATAAGATTTTACACAGTTCAGGGTTGAAAAGAGGGAAGATTGGCTGCTTCATGATGTACAAGAATACAGCAGTGGGCCATAGAAAGCATGATTAGGAACAGTACATAGAAAATAATGTGATGTTCATCACAAGGGCTGGAACATTGCGGCCCAGAAGTACGTAATTGGTTTTCCCCAAAATATATGTCTGTATACATTTTGTATACTCATTAGAAGTGCGTTGTAATTGTGGTAAAAGGTGAAAGGTAAAGCTATCCCTGTAACAGGCTGTGAAGACCCATTGGGTTGTGAGATGTCGAGGCTCCCACATTTTCTCTGGACCAGTGTTTCCCAACCGCCGGGCGACAGCCTGCTACCAGACCCTGGCATCAATTATACCGGGCCCTGTTCTTATAGAAAAAAGAATTTACCAGGCCACGGTCTGACAAAGGTTGAGAGCCACTGCTCGAGACAATTGGCTCACAGATGGCAGTAAGGTTGTCAGTATTATGTGCCAGCCACACTTTACCCCCCAGGAAGATTCCTGGTATTCATTTCTGTTTGAGGCTGAGTTGACACCTGGGCCGTAATGCAGCTGGAAGGACTGGGCAAATTGGGAAAAAAAAGCCACCTTATCAGGACTCAAATCCCATGACCTTCTAGCTTGTAGTATAGTGCCTCAACCAACTACACTACTGTGCGCCCCGTTGTATTGGTGTGCACATTTATAACATAGTGTTTAGTGAGACTGATGATATGCTTATCTGAGCAGACAACCTTATGGAAGGAAATTCTTGTTTTGCAGCAGCATCTGCGGTATGGCCATCACTGGTTCCCTTTGTTTCTGTATTTAGCAATGTAGTACCAACATTCACAAAGTTAGTGATGCATTTATACCTTTAGGTAATGTGATATAATACTTCACAAGACAAGAAAATCAGCTGTCTTTGTCTGGCAAGAAGGGGCTTATTTATTAGTTTATTGGCCAACCCATTACATATCTGTCTTCCTTGATGACTGAAAGAAGAGACAGAGTTAATTTATGTCCTTGCTGTGAGAGCAGAGGTCCTGAACAGGTCCCACAGAATATAAAAATGTTTTGATTGTACTTCAGAGCCGATTAGTATAGAAAATTTTCTTTTTTTATGTGAAGATGCTTGTACGACATCAATACACTTGTCGTAATATTCTGAATTTGATTTTCCATTGTGTTCATGTGTTAGTATGTTATGATGTATCATGCATTAATAATTTATCATTCTGTTTAAGACTGCTGCTATCCCCACCAGTTGACACAGCACTATTAAATAAATGAAATTATCATATAGTACAGTAATATGTTTCTACTGTTGTAGATTGGTGAGCTCAAGCCGACAGACAGACATGATAACTTTCAGTGTACGCTGTGGAATGCCTGAAGGAGTTGTAACTCACCATCTGCGTGCTGAGACACACCGTGACCTTGCAAACTGGGCACGAGCTCTAGTACAGGGTAGTCACAACTGTGCCCAAACCCAGCGGGAACTTGTCTGCCGTGAGTACAGTTTCCACATGAAGAAGTTTCCAGCACAAGTTTTTACCAACATAAATAAAAATCTAGGCTCATTTTTTATGAATTCTGTTTGTTGTTAGTGCTCTTCCAGATAAGTTGGTTATTTAAAAACGCTGTCAGTTTTGAGACTATACAGTGTCATCGAGAGGATGATTAATGATTATGGAGTAGCTGATGGTATGAGAACTGTCATGGGAAACTGACATACTTGGAGAAAACCCACACAGATCCTATAGGAACTGACCTGGGATCTAATCCATTCTGCATGGTGAAAAGCCAGCGCCTAACACATTGATTCCATAACATAGCCAATTTTATCCTTGAATGATTTTGCTATTTTCTGTAGGTGAAACAAACACCACTTATATGAAATCTGATGGTATCACAGCAGTGAGAATTTAGTCTGGTCTTCTGTGTCATGACACCAAGTAGTCTAAGCTGTTACCACTTGGCTGCAAATTATATATATGTTGGCCTCAGAAGTACTGCTAACTGCATAAATTTGCAAAACTGATTATGCATTAAAGCATAAAGTTCATATAAGGCATCTAACATCACTGCAAACAAAATACAGTTGTCTTTTTAAAATGCTGTCTGTGCAGGCTGCTTATGGCAGGGACAACCAGCGCAGCTGATACTCCATTATGAAAATGGATTTACACTGATGGAGGTACTGAACACCTTAACAAGGCGTGAACCTAGAACTCTGTGGAAGTTCCCATTTGAACGGTTGCGAATGTCTGCTGATGATGGCGCCCGATTACTCTGGCTTGACTTTGGTGGTGAAGAAGGAGAGATGGTGAGTTTCTATTGTCAGATTTAGGTTGACTGAAAGTGCAGAATGGTGATTGTATTCCCAGCCTTGAATGGGTTGTAGGATCTAAGGTGAATTCACCTTTCATGAGCACAGTAGAGTGTAGTTAAAGGTGAGCTGAATTGCCTAACCCTCCAGAAATGCTTGACATGCTTATCAGGACCCAGTATAGGTATACCTCCTTATGAGTGAATGAATACTTTTATTAACTCCATTACAATTTAAAATATGCATTGCCTAAGTTTGACTCCATGGTCCTGCACCTTGGTATCCCACTTAACATTAATTCTTGAATAGCAGTAATATTATAGCCTAAATATGCGTGAATCACATCACCTTTAATGTAAAAACCCTCTAAATGTTACTGTTTCTTCTAAATAATTCCATTTTAAGTTGTATATGTAAAGTTGTCCCAGTGTTTAACTAATTAATTATTATGCCATGAAGGCATATAGGGGAATGGATGTATAGAGCCACATTTTCTTGACCTCAGCACCAGATTGAGGTGAGTGGTCAGCTTCACCCCCCGGCTGCCTTACGCCTATGGAAAGAGCCCCTAATACCCATTGGATATGAGGTTGGGTAGACCCCAGAGCTGGTCTGGACAATGTGGAGAAGAAAAAATTCTTGACTCTACCGGGACTCAAACTCCAACCCCTCGGTCATCCAGCCCATGGCCAGTTGCTATACCGACTGCACTATCCTCACTCCCAATAAACTGTTACTTTCAAATTGGAATATGGCCTGTGCTTCAGTGGGAAAGATTAAACTTGTTCACTTGACCAGAAAAAAAGTTTTGCACTTCTTTGGTGTCATTTTGTGCAGATTATTGCTGTGATAAATGCAAAAGGCAATGGAAGACAAGCCTAATAGTAATATATATATTATAATATTACATGTTATGGACTCACAGGAGATGTAGTTATATCTCGTCAACATTAATCATCAGACATCCTGAACATGTTCATACATTTACGACAAGTGGGAAAGGAATAAGGAGAAATGAGGGTAGGAGATAAAGAAAGTTTATACAAGACTACCTGCTTGAATTTTCAATAGGCACTTCCCACTAGTATAAGTGAATGCAAACATGTTTAGGAATTCATATTATTTTTAAAGTATAATATAAAAACAATTTTGATAGTTCTAGAATACTGTTATAAGACTATTTATAACCAGTTTGTTGTGTCATATTTCTGAGTTATTACAGTGATTGTGAATGACTGTTTCCAGGAACTGGACTTGGAAAGCTGTCCAAAACCTCTGGTGTTTATCCTGCACAATTTTTTGTCAGCCAAGATCCATCGCCTGGGCTTGTATGCATAATGCAGCTTTATAACTGCACAGTGTCCTTTCAGTGAGTAGAGAATCATACAGACACATTTCTACTCACATTCTGAAAAAATGTAACATTTTTTAAACTGAATCTGGGGAGTTCGATCCATTAGAAAGAGCTAGTTTCTTGAGAGTAGGTCTGTCTGTTGCAACCAATGGAGCTCTTCATAATGGAGTGAACTGCACAGGTGCCTCGTGACCTTTTCACATGAGAATGGAAACAGATTCCGTTTCCAAATGTTGTGTTTCTTTGGAATACTATGATTGTTGAAGTCAAAACACAGTAATCCCAGGACACAGTTCTGATTTGGTAACACCACTGTTTTGGGGGTCTCAAGAGTTGCAGCAATATTATCTTAATTTGCTGCAGAGTATGATAACATGTCATATTAATTGCAAAAAAAAAAAGGGTTTTAAAACTATGGACTAATTAATCCATTTGTTCAAAATTCATGGGTTTCCTTACTTTGTCACGAAGATTCAGAATCTTCCTCGAAGATAAATACTGAGAAAACTAAAATGATGGCTTTTACAGAATGCAAGCAATTAAAAGCAAGAAATGCATTTATGATTAGGATACTGGACCAAATTAATACTTTTAATTATTTGGGATAGAATGAGAAAAGGGTTTGAATGCAAAAATAGTAAATATTTTAAAAATATTAGGAATTGTATGTCAGATTTTCAAACCATCAGTGGTTTCTAGACACGCAAGAATACAAATTTAAAGACCCATTTAGATAAACATTATCATATGGTGGTGAATAATGGTCAGTAAGCTATTGGCAGAAATGCATTTCACAAGGAGGATAGCTGGATGTACAGTGCTGGACCATGAAAGAAATGCCATCCCCTAACTCACATAATAATGGCAATAGAATTTGAGGTTCTCACAGTCATGGTTAGCAAGGCTCATATCTTCGGGGATATAACACCATGTAAAGGTAAAGTTGTCCCTGTGCTTAACTAATGAAGACATATGGGTGAGTGGATTTATAGATGCACGTTTTCTTGACCTTGGCACTAGTTGGAGATGAGTGGTCAGTGTCATGTCTTGGCCGCTTTACCCCTGGTACCCCATTCAGTGGGAGAGTGGATGGGCCCCAGAGCTGGTCCAGATGATGTGGAGGAGAAAATTCTTGACCATACTGGGACTCAAACTCCGACTCAATTGTCATCCAGCCCATAGCCAGTTGCTATACCAACTGCCCTAGCCCAGCTCCCCATAGTCCAGTGAAAGTCATCTGATGTTTGTCTGAAACATTGGTTGAGTTTCAGCAGACTACATGGTGTTATAATCCCAGAAGACTTAACTCTTCAATGAGAACAGAATTTTTCAAAACCATACATAAGCTGCAAAGTAAGGACTGTAACGCCTTGTAGTTTGGAGAAAGCCTGATGTTTCGAAGGAACATATCACCCCCATCTTCAGGACTGAAGAGTAAACCACGCAAGAAACCATCAGAAGAAGGTGGCATATTGAGCTGGTTTGTTTCTTGGTTCACTCTTTCAATCTGAAGATGAAGATATCTCTCTTTGAAATAGCAGGCTGTCTCGAAACTATGCAGTGTTACAATCCAGAAGACCATATTCTGCATATTCACTACCATGGCAACTTCAAATCCAGCATACATAAGCTATTCTGAGTACTTGATGACTGTTTCCAGTAAGCATACATCACAAATATTTTCTGCATATAATGGTCACCCTTCATATGGTAGGGGTATGTGGATTCTTTAACTGTGGTCTTGTATGCATGTGAAAATCTCCTCCTCCAGACTGGTGCCCCATAAATTGGTGGTAATATAGAGTCAGAAAGTTCACAGTATTTTACCTGATCTTGCCTCTGTTAAGGGCTTGAAACTGCAGAAGTCTCCCAAAACACTTGATACAGCTGTTATTGGTAATAATAATCACCTGACATATACAGACAGTGGTGGTTTTCATTTTCCATTTCAGATGCTCCCCAATCTTCACTACATGATCAGTATCATCTTTCAAATGGATGTGTCCTTAAACTTAGGAATATTAAATTGAAGAAAGCAGTTTGTAATATCTAGTTTCAAATGGGAATAAGTGATTTCCATTCAGTATGGGAAAATTAATCTGAATCTTGCTTTACTGTAGTACATTGGCTCTGCAAATTGTGTATTTCATGATGAAGGGAAGGCTCCTTGACAATAAATTCTCATATACCAAAACTGGGTAAAGGAAAATATTAAAATGGCAAGGAAATTATGCTAATGCATTCAGTAATTTAATCTTAACTCAGTTGATTCCATATAGTCCTCAATACATACATCACCAGAGGTGACTCATTAAGCAGTTTCTCACTTAATGATAAACACTTACTGTATCAAATGGAGGTACCTAGTTTTCCATAATGGTGGTGATATCAAATCCTTAAAGGACATGTATATTCAAGTTTTGTGTCTGGCCTGCCATTTCCACCTGAACACTTAGCTAGATATAGTGTAACTTTTTTTTTTCCAATTGCTTCCCTTGGCTGAATCAATGAACCTTGTGACAGTTTAAAAATTCTTAGTATTTCTCATTTCTATGTCTGTGCTACACTAAGATTTTTTATATAAGAAACAAGAAGACAAAAATATGTATGTGGGATTTTTGTGCCTTTGCTGGTGTATTTTATACGTTTGAGAAATGTCTTTTTGTACTTTTCCAGGAGTATCGTTAAAACACTATGATTACATTCATTATCTGCTTCTTGCTTTATACATGAATTAAGAAAGTATAATATAAAATACATCGCTGCCATTGCTTCTATTTAAGAAAGAACGTGTCAGTCGCACAAGCATGCTGTGCTTTTATGTTATAGTTAGATGTTACATGAATTTCGGCCTGAGTGTGGAAAGATGCAGCACTTTCTTCTGATTGGTTTTGTGGTTTAATATTTTGTTTTGTCTTGAGAGACTGAAGTCGACAGGTAGTTGATATTTCAGTAGTGCTAAAAATGTGAAACAGTTTAGGAATAGAGTACATATCAGACATGACAATGTAGATATCATTGAAAAGATTTCAATTGTCCATATCATAAGGTGGCAGTCCAAAATGTGTTCTGTACAGTGTTTTATGTCATGGGCTTGCCTTGCTGTTCAAGGCTGATTAGTGTGGCATATTCATCATTTTCTAACTCAGTGTTAACAACATACATGACTGGAACAGTTTGTTTTAAGTTAGAAGAGTTTAGAATAAGATTACATTTTTGAACCTATATTTTGGAGATACAAAATCGAAGTCTCGCAGATCTGATATTTCAATTGAGAACATTTAGTGGTCATTCTTCTATAAGAAGGGGACCTAACTAAAAATCGCTTCCCTTCAGAAGACAATTTTATATTAAGCATATCCATATATAACGTCTGTTAAATTGTGGGTATAGCATTCCTTGCATATGTAAGGTGTTAAGCTTAAGATTTCTAGATCAGGAAGTTGAACTGAGGAAAAATTCAATTCATGGAGCTCGTATTATCTCAGATTTGGTACAAGAACATGCTCATCTCGGTTTAGAGTAAGTAAATGAGTCACTTCAGGTTGCAGATATCAAGTTTTAGACATCCTCATTGCTAAATATGGTTCAGCCCTGTAATTAAACATAAAAATGAATCCACTTCAGTCAACGATAAATGTTTGTTAAAAGTAATGTATACATATAAATGTTTCAGTATAATGATCGTCCAAAAAAAAAAAAACTCTGTGGCCTGTAATCCACAAGTGAACTATACTGACTGACCGACCGCCACTGGTCGGCGAAGTTAGTGCCAACTTTTGCAGATAGAGGGTGTCATGTGGTCAGCGCAACAGGTCCCCATGGCCGTTGATCTCGGTTTTCTAGACCAGAGCCGCTATTTTCTTAAAATAACTCCTCAATTATCCTCACGAGTCTGAGTGGACCCTGTTGTATGATGATCATCAGTCTTTTAAAGTCTTCTATAGAAAACTTGACTTGCGACCTGTGTGAATCATTTCTCATTGGTTTTTGTGTTTTCTCAACCATTTCTTTTGATAATATGAAACTGGCTAAATATTAAGTTAAAATGAATTGCTTCACCTTCATGCGTATAACATTACTGGGACATTGTTATTAGGAAATTGCCATAACATGAAGTGAATCAATAAGTTAATCAGTTCAACTCCTGCTTGTAACATGAAGGTAAATTTTATCTTGATATACCCAATGTAAATACATTGCTCATTTTAACTGTAAGATGAATACTGTGACTGGATTTTAAAATTCACATTTTCAGATTTTCAAATATTTATGAAATGTAAATTATTTTGGAATAACTCTGGATGCCAAAAATAAATGACACCAGATTTGCTTAAACTTGTATGAATACAAGTATTAGAAAACTTTTATCATACAACAATGCATAATATAACAAAGTTCATAAATATTTTGAAATATCCATCAGAGTTGCAGGTTTTAGCAGTATGCACCTCACATAATAATTTGTGTGGGGGGGGGGATATCCCAAATACCTGAGCATTTAAAGATTTCATATCTTTAATTTGTTCAAGTTGGTGAGATTATCAGAAATCTTTCCATCCACCCTTGGAGTCCTGATGAGTGCTATTTTTAGTGTTCTCTGTTACAGTTTCAACTTTTAATAGTTATCAACATTTCATGGATTAAGCAAAAACTGTCCCCATTTTAAATATATTTCTGAAGTTATTTCTGAGTCTTATAATGACTCTCACCCTTTATAAAATGAAGCAAAATCTGAAATATGCAGTTTTCAGTTTTGGCTGTAGAAATGTGACTATCCCAGTTTACAAACAAATTCTTTATCCCTATATTAGACATTCCAAAAATTACTTACATTATCATAGGCTATTGCACAGTTATAAGGTTTCATGAGAATGAAGCAATTACCTGTGTTTATGTCAAACTAAATTTCAGGTTGTGGGGTTTGTTCTGTGTAGAGCCTGTTTTGGAGATGTCCCTTATTGGTAAATTTGTTCAGAATGTTCAGAATTCTCCTCTTACTATGGTAATATACAATGAAATTGGTTTATTCACACGTCATTAATATGCTTTTCGTTGGACCTAGAATCAAATTCACAATAACAGGGATGAAAAACCATGAGGCTGTGGGGCAGAAACATCTTACACAGACTTTATAAACACTATTTTGCTTACACATTATCAGTAATGCCTTGAATACTGGGTGACAAGACTGTTTACATTTCTGTTTCGATTTATTCAGTACTTCGTTAGTATGGTGCACTGACAAAGTACTATCTATGGCTCTGCAGTCCTTTTGTTGGATGTTAGCCACTTTTGCAGTTTCTTAATTCTGTACACAGGTGGTAGGACTCCTTGGTCAGGGGATCAGCCAGTCGCAAGGCTGCTACCTACACACAGAACAACACAAACACAGAATGCCTTGAGTGGGATTCGAACCCACGATTCCAACGTTCGAGCGAGGAAAGTCAGTTTATGCCTTAGACCACATGGCCACTGTGATGAGCACTGACAGAGTACTGACCATGTTAAAAGGGGTTCTCCATGCATGATGCAGGGCTTCGAGTTGCTCAAGATATTGCTTACTTTTATACATTATCCTGGATCATGGCCTGAGTCAGTTGAATCCAATCTATACCTTATCTATCTAAAACCCATTTTAATATCACTCTATGTTTATCTGCATCTTCCAAGGTGATCTCTTCACTTGAGTTTGTGACTAAAATTTGTATGCATTTCTTATTTCACTGTGTTCTGCCTATTTTTCTTTCTTTTTCTTTTTTGTATTTAATCACTCTAAGCCTAGGGGTCTAAGGCATGCATTGTGTGGGCTCACTTGGAAGCCAGGGTCAGGAATTTAAATCCCACTCAGGGCAGGGATATATATATATATATATAGAGAGAGAGAGAGATTTTTGTGTGTGTGTGTGTGTTGGGGGGGGGCGCAGGTAGTGGCCTTTTTTTTTTATTGCTAGTGGGGTGGGACTAAGTCCCTTGTACTGTGACCACTTCTGGCCTATTGTACCAGCCCGATGATAGGTGAGGGTGATTGTGGAGCAATTGGTGGAATGAAGATTGGCAGGGGAAACTGAAGTACTCGGAGAAAACCTGCCCCAGCGCCACTTTGTCCACCACAAATCCCACTTGACCCGACCCCGGGATCGAACCCAGGCCGCCGGGGTGGGAAGCCAGTGACTAACTGCTTGAGCTATGGCGCAGCCTAGGTAGAAGCCTTGCAACAAGCCAAAGGAGTCCTACCAAATGTCTCAGATCTCTAGTAAACTGAAGTGAAACGGAGTTTCCTGGAGGTAGGCCAAGGCCCAAATTGGGCTGTGGTGGATTTAAATTATGTGGCAAAAGTTGAATACCAGTTGCTGCATTATTACGTAATTATTCAAACAGTATATTTTATATTTCTGAAGGGACACAATCCTTTTGGAATAAACTTCATTGCATTGTAGGATCATATCTCTCAGTGCAGGTACAGAGACACAAACAGGTAACATAAATGTACTCACATTGAGCTCTCTACTGTGGGGCAGTGCTTCTTATTCATTCTTTTCAGATATGAATTGTTTTCAGTGAACTCATAAGAGAACCTTTGATTTCCTTCTTGATTTCTTAGATATTTTTATTTTACCTCAGTCAGTATAGTGACAGGCTATGGGCTGGATGGCCAGGGTTCAATTGCTATCTGGGGCAAGAAATTGTTTTCTAATCCACAGCATTCAAACACCTTTTGGGTCTACCCAGCCTCCTGTCCAATGGGTAATGGAGGCTTTTTGCCTGGAGATGAAGTGGCAGGGGCATCAAGCTGACCATGACTTCCATATTATGCCGGGGTCAAGACTTTGCTTACTTAAGCACAGGGGCAACTTTATTTTTACCTTTATTTTAAACACATCTGAACTGATGTTTCACATAGGCACATTTTATATACCAGAATTAAGGTGGGACTTCTATTTCATGTGTGAGCTACTTGTCAGTACCATACATAAAATTAAGCTTCTTTTAGCTATGGTAAAAGTGGCACTTATAAAATGTGGCTTCACCATTCATGTACAAATAATACTTCTTTACTATGTTTAATTTTTTTTTTGTGGGGAGGGGGCCATCATGTGACCCATTGTTTTGGACTTTGTATGGTTGTACATTTGGAAAGTTTGGAATGCCATTTGAACTTAATCTGAGGTCAGCACCATTAAGCAGATCAATCTTAGAATGTTAAAGCTCTCAGCACAGAGTCTGCCTTCTGCGATCTAAACCCCACGTAATGCATTGAAAGTCAACCAACGTTTTGGAAAAAAAATACTGCCTCTTCCTTTGGAGTCGAAGAATGAGCCAAGCCACAAACCAGCACAAAGATGGCAGCTGACTTTCAACACAGCATGTGGTGTTACATCTCAGAATGCTTCATATCTGCCACTGTGAGAACCTCAAATCCTACATATGGTTCTGTTTAATTCTCATGTGTGTGTGTGTGTGTGTGTGTGTGTGTATGTATGTATGTATATAGTATCACTCTTGGTGTTACAATGTGTGGCTGCTGAGGACATGACGTTGCTCTAACTTCCTTGATAACAAATAACGAAAATTGTGACATCACAAGTTACCGTGCAGCTCAATATTATGGGGGATTAATATGGGGAAAGGGTGGTATGTGGTGGTTTAGGTTTTGAAAATTATTGCCAAGGTAACATATGTAAATAATCTTTTATCATTATTATTATTAATATAATAATAATATAATGCTAACTACTTTTCAAAGTGGAAATTAGTAGTGCTTGGTTATGTAAAAATTATTTTATTTTGATGCAAACATGGATAGAGAATGTTTTATAGTGTATGAAACATGCAGTGGAGTCCAGCCATCATGTACTGTCACAGCAATAAGACGGATTTAATAATAATAGCTAATTGTTTTATATTTAAGCAAGTAATTTGCTTTACTTCCTACCATTCCCATGAAATCCTTAGGAGACCTTGCCTGTTGTGGCACAGCCGTCTGTTGAACAGCTATGCAGTTCCTTGGTCAGTGTCATCTCCTCCTTTTTCTTCTTCTCCTTCTGTTCCTGTTGCTCTCGCTTTGAGCATATGACATCCGTGAAACACTTCGTTTGACTTCAGTTTCTTAATCTAAGACAGTTTGGACTGAGCAGTCTGGGTCAGTGTAAAGCCGGGTTATTGGAATGAATGGAAGAGATGCATCATGACACTACTGTCCTTCTGTGGACATCACTACACATGTGTGAGAAGTGGCATCCTGAATGCATTACTGGCAGCAACTCTACACACACAGTGTCCTTACAGGTAACTTCAACACAACTGTCAAGTCCCATCATGACCACCACAAACCTTCAATCTCGCTACCAACCATTCTATTCCATAAACCATCATGATGACAATTTCCACCAAACCAATTCCTGTCACCATGACAACTGGCACTTCCTCACCATTACTGCCACAACTGTCATCATGACCACTACAAGCAGTAGCACAAGCACAATCACCATGACCACTGTGGCTATCAAAATCACCATTATCAACACAGCTTCCTTCACCACACCATGTTACTGCCTGCATCACAATTACCCATATCACAGTCACAACCATCAACATCATCATATCTCTATGAGCAAAAGCAGTATCATTGCAGCCACTCAGAGCTACTACCACCCCCAACAAATCCACTATTTTCTGTGCTACCATTACTGCTACTACTGCCATTACCATTGCAAATGCCAAGCCAACACATATACCACTCTCTGCTGCTGGTCATCCCAGTCCTGTAATGCCCTGGATCCATGGAACTTAGATCAACCTCTGGTATGAAAATACTGAGTACATGTCAAGATGGTTCAAGCTTAAGAACATCTTTGTTGCTTTATCCGTGGAGGCCTGTTCCATCTCCTCTATGCCACAGTGATGTCCTGCAGAACTAGTCAAGCTTGCAGTCGCTTTGCCACTGCACCCTCAATGGGAAAATGCTACTGGAATCACATATTTGCGCGTTTCATGACTTGGTCAGACCACTGGCTAAGAATTTTCACCAGACAAACTTGCTCTTGAATATGGCAGTTTAAGTTAAATGTAAGGGAAGCTCATGACAATGGATCACGAGTTCCATGACATTCAGGCTAACTGGCACCTGGCAGAAGTTTATACCAGACATGTACAGTAATACACACATCACATCTCTCCTCTTCAAGATACCCATGGAGGGACTATCTCATAACTGGGGGGATATCCATGTTGATGCCCAAGACAGCAAAGTGCCTGTAAAGAGGCCAAGCATATGACACTACCAATTTGATGAACCACAGTTGTGTCTGATGTACTGTGGGACTACAGCAGGCATGTAGGATCATTGTGGAAGGGGGTATTTTGCGCATGACTCCTGTATTGTCTTTCAACTCCAAAGTCTTAGTCCACAAGCAAACTATGCCAACCAAGCAACCACTGATTGTTGGGGAAGTTAGTGCCAACTTTTGCAGAGGGGTGTCACGTGGTCAGCACAACAGCTGTTAGCCTTGGTTTTCTAGACTGGAGCCACTACTTTTCCATTCAAGTAGCTCCTCAGTTATGCTCACTAGGCTGAATAGACCCTGTTCCAGACCCACTACTTCTCAGGAAATCTGGTAGCACCAGATTTCCAGCCCAGGACCTCTGGATCTGTAGCCAGGAACTCAGACCACAGAGGCAGTCCCTATATTGCCTTTAAGAGATTATTTCAAATTTTTTTATTCTTTTTGTACCATACTATAAAAACAGGAGTTAGGATAATGTAGTCAGTATAGTGACTGGCTGGACGACCGAGGGGTTGGAGTTTGAGTCCTGCTAGGGTCAAGAATTTTCTCTTCTCCACATCATCCAGACTGGCTCCAGGGCCAACCCAGCCTCCTATTCAATGGATACCCAGGTCTGTTTCCCCAGGGGTAAAGTGACCAGGGCATGAAGCTGACCACTCACCTCCAGTTAGTGCTGAGGTCAAGAAAATATGGATCTGTACATCCACTCCCCCATACACCTTCTTGGCATAGTGCTTAATCAGTTACACATGGGGTCAACTTTACCTTTATACTACAACAACTATAATAAACAAGACTGGGATACTTCCTTAACCTCTGGCTATGCTTCTCCACTCTTACTCAGGTAAGCACTACTCAAAAAGGTAAGCTATACGTAAAAGTCTGTTTCTGCAAGATTCACAAATAATTAAAATGCTGTCAGATTAGTTTGTATTCTTCACCAAATATTTTNGAAAAAAAATAAATGTAGATGGGTGTGGGGGGGGGGGGTGACGTACATATGGAGGTGAGAATTTTCACTCATCAGTTCTGTCTGTATCTTTAATATTCTGAATTTGATTTGTTTCATTCTGGTCCGTCACACTCACTGTTGTCCTGTTACTTGTATGTTACATACTGTGCTTTTCAGGACAGCCGTATATTCCCAAGTGGTCATTTATTACTCATTAGTGGAAGAGGCTGTTGGAATTCAACAAGAAATAATTTATTTCACATATTAGTGTTCAGCTCCTTCTTCCTTTATCTCCTTCCTTCATTTCCTACCTCCAGGAAATTAGTTAGCTGTTAATTATGTATGTGCATGGATGCATACAAACAGATGTCCACAGAGCTGCTATGCTTTGCTATTGATGACAGGGAAAGAGGTATGAAATTTGGGTGATCTCTGTGGCATGATGATCACACTGAATTTCATGGGAAATGTATCTACCGTTGCAAAGTTACTATATGGGACATACACTGATACAGTTAGTGTAACATAATACTGTATACTCCTTAAAAAAATAAGGACAGTAGCATTAAAATTTAAACTATTTCATGAAGAGAAGTATTTTCAGTACTGCACATGATTTGATTAAATATAATTTAAAATACTGCAAGACTTACACAGAAGTTTAATGGCCTTTGGATTCTTTCTCAACACTATGTCAACTCTTTCATCATCATTGCTCCAGAAAGCACAGTGCTTACTAGGAAAGGTTACTCCAGTTCATCTGCCTCGACAAGAGCACGGGCCTTCTCTAAATCCAGTCGTAGTTTCTCATCATCAGGCCTCAGCGCCACGGCGGCCTCCAATTCCCCAATCCCCTCACGCACCATCCCCAGACGGCAGAGAGCGATCCCACGGCGCACATGGCAGCGCGCACGTGACATACAGTTCATCTCCACACATGGCATTAACAGCTCAAGTGCCTGATCATAAATAATTACAATAACTGTTTAACTTTTCCTTTTTTACTAAAGAATACACAGACACACACACACAAACACTTCCTCATAAACACATGCCTTGCAACCATGCGCGGGACAACACCTGCATACAGGTATATACGTGCGCGCACACTAGAAGCATTTTATGCAGCAACTGCGCATTTGAGTGTCCAAGTTGTCCAAGTGATCCAAGTCGGTGCGCTGATGCACTACCACTCTCGTTCGGCTTTGTGGGTGATACTCAGGCATGAACGCGTGTCTCCTTGCGAGCCTGCATGCCTGCACTGGCGGGTATCGTCAACCGGTACTTTACATACATACATAAGTCTCGAGTGGTCAGGTTTTACTCCACAGTTGGCGCTACAGTTTTTATTTCTTTTTTTCTTGTAAAGTCGCGCTGAATTAGCTTGGTCTCATGTGATTAAACATCTGCGTGATGTTAAGAATGGGATGGGACGGTTCCCATGCTTCCATAATCTCATCCACAGTACCTCCTGCCCTGCCCTCTAAAATGAATTCTTCAGAAGAGCGGCTTGCACAGCCCAATAATGGAGATAATAAGAAACTAATATGCTACATTTTTAACTACACTTCGTGGCTTTCCATGAGGTTTTAGTCTTGAGTGTTCAGGTTTTACTCCACAGTTTCTGTTGCCTTTTTTCTTGTTAAGTCGCACAGAATTAACTTGGTCTCAAGTGGTTAAATATCTGCGTGATATTAAGGGTGGGATGGGGCATTCCCACGCTTCCATAATCTCATCCCCAGTACCTCCTGCCATAACCTATAAAATGAATTCTTCAGAGGAGTGGCTTGCACAGCCCAATAAGGGAGATAATAAGAAACTAATCCACAGGTGGCACTACAGTTTCTATTTAATTTTTCTTAACTCGTAATCATAATAGCTTGGTCTCAAGTGATTAAATAATTGCGTGATGTCAAAGGTAGGCTCGGTGGGTTCCCACACGACAAACCACCACGGCAGGGGAAGTTTTAATAAAAGCGTACCCCGCTTAGGCGAGTGTTTCATGAGTGGCCGCAAAAATCTTCCCTCCTCTCTTACCGTCTCCCTCTTCCCTATGTCTCCCTACCTGCCTACCTATCTTATCTCCATCTCTTCACTTTTTGCACTGCTGCTCTGCGGTTGTCTCACTTCATTAATTTCTTTTCATTTTTTTCCCCAAAACCCTACTGGTTTCGAACCAGGGGCCTTCAGAACACTATGTGATGTGTTACCCCTAGACCACCAGCACCACACACATACACACAGATATACCTACATACCGTATTTACGCATGTATAGGCCGCACATTTTTTGCCAAAAATTCAAGAGGAAAACTGGGGTGCGGCTTATATTCGAAATCACACGTCATTTAAAAAAAATTATATTCATAATTAGTAATACAGGGTGTTCTACTCCTGAAATAATATTCCAAGAAAATTATTTTTTCTATAATTTCTGTCTGAAAATTGTGCTGCGGCCTATACATGCATAAATATAGTATCTGTACATACATACATATATATACACACACATACATACATACATTCTCTCTCTCTCTCTCTCTCTCTCTCTCTGGGGCATTAAAAATGATTGACACTAAATGTTTTTTCCTTCACAGTAACCATTTATTGGCACCAACTACATACAGATTATATTATAGGGATCCCCCCCCCGCCAATGTTCATGCATCTTTGCCATCGTTCCGGGAGTTTCCGTATTTGTAGAGCAAACCATTTTTAGGGGCTATAGACTTGGTGCTGCTTCCCCACATATGGCTGGTAACCTCGTGTGAATGTGTGAAGCAGCCGCTCCTTCCACCCAGAGAAACCCGTGATTGCCTGCTTCTATGTTGTCTGAGCATTTTCCACGACTACACCTGCACACCTCCACGAATGATGCAGCACTTTGACTTGTGTGCAGTAGCAACGTCATCTCGTGGCCATAGGTGGCACTATAGTATGACTTCCAACATATAACGGCTCGAATTTAACACTGTTACTTTCTGGAGTTTTGGAGGGGGTGAGGGGAGGGCCATGGCCACGGTATATGCTGCTACAATGTTCAGTAAGTTTGGCGACCTGTACTATATATTTTTGGGGCACGCGGTAGCATAGTTGGTTGAGGGGCTATGCTACAAGCTGGAGGGTCGTGGGTTCAAGTCCTGATAACGTCACTGGAATTTTTTCAATTGACCTAATCCTTACAGTCACACTATGGCTCTCAGGTTCACTCAGCCTCTAACAGAAATGAGTACCAGGAACTAATTAAATAACTTTCCTGGGGACTAAAGTGCGGCCGGCGTGTATGGCTGACAACCTTACTGCCATCTTTGAGCCGACTATCTAGATAATGTGGGACCCTCCACGTCTCACAACCCTATGGGCCTTCACGGCCTGGTACAAGGATAGCTTTACTTTTCACTTTTTTACTATATATTTTTAAATCCAAATTACTGGCAGAAAATGAGTTTCACTCAGGGATTTATGAAGGGGTATGAGATTCGTGAAGACGAAACCCCTGAATTTCATGACATTCAGAATCTTTTTTTAGTAAACAGGTACTGAACACAATATTCTGTAGTGCAAGAAAGTTTAATGGCCTTATTTAGACAAAGTAATTGTCAAGNATTATTATGGGCGTTATAACATAGGTGTGCAGCTGAACGAAACATACACGTCGAACCCCCCCAGACGATTTAAATCCCTGACGAAACATACACGACGAACCACGGCAACGGGTTAAGCTTTAATACATTTTTACATTACATACCAGCTTTCACACTGTTAAACAGTCTATGATTGTAAACAGATTATTCACAAAACAGAAAGATGTACTCTCTTGCATCAATGAGAGAAAACATAAGAGATATACTTGATTGTACACAAGCTGGAGATCTCAGCCTAGAGTAGGGAAAATAAGAAATCTGTAAAATCCCAACATTCATGTTGGAATTATCATGATCCATTCCTCAGACAAAGATTTTTCATGTTGGATTCATACATGAACGCTCATTGTTCCAATATGGAAACTCACACATGGCACTTTCGTTCAAGAAGTAATGAAACTAAGAGGAGCCACGATAGCATAGTTGGTACGGCGACTGGCTACGGGCGGGACAACTGAGGGGTCAGAGTTCAAGTACAGGTACGGTCAAGAATTTTCTGTTGCCCACGTCCAGACTGGCTCTGGGGTCCATCCAATCTCTTATCCAATGGGTACCAGGGCTGCAGCCGGGGTGTGAAACTGACCACTCACCTCGAGCTAGTGCTAATGTCAAGAAAATGTGGATCTATACATCCACTACCCCATATGTCTTCATGGTCTAGTGCTTAATTAGTTAAGCACAGGTCTCCCACTGCACTGGTCATCCTCTAACGTCTCCTGCCCATTCTTATACCGGGGGAACCACTTGTAAACTGCGGATTTCTTTAGTGCAGTATCACCATAAACTTGCTGCAGGGCCGATACCGTCTTTGAAGCAGATTTTCCCAATTTGCACATGAACTTGATGATTGCACACTGTTCAAACTGCCACATTGCGCCAAATGACCAATGCTCATGTCTAATTCAAACGGAACAGTAACGACACTGCACACTGAAACCTGTCTAGACCTGTTGTGCCTGCGAGCAGACATGCTGAGCTTCCCATCACAACAGTGTGCATGCTATCTTATCACTTGTTCTCCATCTGCAGGGGAATTCCGGGAACTTTTTGACTGGCCTACGTAAAATAAAACATTCAGTGTACTTTTTCATATGCACCTAGGAACAGCCAGGACCACTCAAATGTACTAAAATGAATAGGGCCACACTCCCAAACATACTCACATGAAACAGATTACTTTACAGTTACAGAAATAAAATTCTCAAACACAAGATGAAACTATAATTTAGACCTTGGCACTTTACAGTATCCAGTGAAACTGCAGAAAGAAAAAGCAAAACTCTCTTTTCACTGACTGAAAGTAAGCTAACACAAAGATGAGTGAAATTTAGTTTTTTCTTTTTCATTTTGGCATGTGGCTGTTAGTTTTCCCAGAATGATTCTATGATGAAAAGCTTTCAAGAAACAGCCTTAACTTATGGTAGTGTGTAAGTACAAATTTATAGTAACATAGGGAATGTTTTAGTGACAGTATGACAGCTGCAGGAGAGGGGAGCTATAATATTGATTCTAGTATAAAAAAGTTATGGATCTGACATAATTAATCTTGAGTTGTGTGTTGATACAAGATCAATTGGTGTCTTTTTTTCTTAGTTCTATGGTGATGTGTGGGGAAATCCAAAAGTTACCGAAATTTGAATTTGCGCGCGAATGGTTATGAGTACATCAAAATATCGCTAGGTGTCTCCTCACACATCCTTCTTGAATCAGTGTGGCAAGCAGTGTCGAGTTGAGTGGTTGGGTTTATTGTTGGTGAACGTATTTCCACTGTTGTGTTTCCGTGAGTTTGCGGCTTTGCGATGGCTGACCTGAGAGAGCAGCATGTCTGTATAAAGTTTTATTTCGAACTTGGGAAAACCGCTGCAGAAAAGCACCAAATGTTGAAGCAAGCTTTTGGTGAAAACAGTTTAGGCCAGACACAAATAAGCATTTTAAAAATAGCCGAACACTGACTGATGATGACGATCGTTTGGGACGGCCGTCAATGGGCAAAACACCAGAAAATGTCGCGAAAGTTAGGGATCTGATTCTGCAAGATCGTAGACTGACCATCCAAGACTTCTGTAACACCTTGGGACTAAGTTATGGTACATGTCAATGAATTGTGCCAGAGGAACTGAACATGAGGATGATTGCGGCTGCTGCAAAATGAACAGAAGCAGCATCGCTTGGAACTTCGCAGGGAACTTCAGCAACAGCTTCAAGAGGATCCAAACTTTCTTTCAAAGGTTGTCACTGGTGACAAAAGTTGGGTTTATGGCTATGACCCTGAAAGCAAGCAGCAATCGTTGCAATGGAAGAGCCCTTCTTCACCTCGGCCAAAAAAAGCTCGACAAGTCAAGAGCAACATTAAATCCATGTTGATCTGTTTTTTGATATTGATGGGATTGTTCATAAGGAGTTCGTCCCTCCTGGTCAGACAGTCAATAAAGAGTTCTATCGCAATGTTCTAAGGCATTTGAGGGAGAACATGAGGAGAAAACGTCCAGAGAAGTGGCGCACGAACGACTGGGTACTCCACCATGACAACGCACGACCGCATACGGCTTACATTGTGCAGGAATGTTTGGCTAAAAACAAGATGGCAGTTGTTCCCCACCCACCGTACTCGCCAGACTTAGCTCCATGTGACTTCTTTCTCTTCCCCAAGATGAAAATAAAGTTGAAGGGGTGAAGATTTTATACAGTTGAGGAAATTCAAGCGGAAATGCAGACGGTACTAAACACCTTAACAAAGAAAGACTTCCAGGATGCATTCAAAAAGTGGCAGAAACGCTGGGATTGGTGTATGCGCTCCCAAGGGGACTACTTTGAAGGCGATGGTGCAGAATAAGATCTAGGTAAGATGTAATAGTTTTTATTAATATATTTCGGGAACTTTTGGATTGCACCACGTATGTTGACCAAACACCACATCAATCATTTCAGTACCTTCACCAAGCAAGTATTGCAATCCGGGGGGAGGGAGGGGAGGTAAAGCTATCCCTGTTAACAGGCCGTGAAGGCCCATAGGGTTATGAGAAGTCGAGTCTCCCACATTTCCTCTAGACAATCGGTTCACAGATGGCGGTAAGGTTGTCAGCCTTATGCGCAGGCCACCCTTTACCACCAGGAAGATTCCTGGTACTCATTTCTGTTACTGACTAAGTTGACCTCAGGGCCATAGTGGAGCTGGAAGGATTAGGTAAAGTGAAAGAATCCAATGACCTCATCAGGAATCAAACTTGTGACCTTCTAGCTTGTAGCATAGTGCCTCAACCAACTATGCTACACAATCTGCTGATTATTTTTGTATAAGAAAGCAATAATATCAATACACAGTTGGTGGTCAAATGGCTGACATTTCCTGGCTAGGGAGAAGACCATAACCTCATAACCAGAGTTAAATGAAGGCAGATCAAGGTGGTTTAGAAACACATGAAGCATAAAGAGTGGTGTTGTGGACAGTACAAAGAGGATCAATAAGCAGCATGTGTGTACTTACTGTTGAACAGTCCTCCACTGTCTTGTGCAGATTTCCAAGTGCCATGTGAGCTGCAGCTCTGTTTGAATATAATGCTGGCATCTTGCTACCAATACTGATAGCATGACTGTATGCACTGACAGCACCAAGGTAGTTGCCAACTTTGAAAAAATTGCTGAAACAACATAAAAATGAGTCTGTACTAGAATCCACAATCTTCATATATGTTGTTCAAGTCCATGCATTCTAATAATCCCAGTTGTTCTAGATAGCTTTAATGAATACATTAAGAATATTAAACATTTATTACTATGGTTTCAGTGCTACTATTACATTACATCAGCGTTGGCCAACCTAATACATCTCGAGGGCCAAATTTAGTTTATAGAACACCATCAGGGGCCAGATACGGTGTTTCTTTCAGAAGAGTGGTCGGGGAGTATTGCCCCCCAAACTGAATCAGTCACAACCCATATAAAAACAGTGCATTTAAACCTATGTATTTAAATTTTACGTTGCACCAATAATATTAAGCCGATATTGAAAATTTCACCAATCGATTTTATTGCCTTCTATCACTTCTACCCCCAGAGCATTTTTTCTTAAAGAAACACTGGCCAGATCATGTCTTATGTTTAGTTTTATATATGCCGGGGGAAAATGCAATTATAATTTAAGAAAGAAAAATAAAATGCCTTGAAATGTGCAATTACTTACCATAAAACAGCACAAATTCCTCTTTCAGCAGGGATGAGCACAAAAGACTTTCAATCATAGTTTTTATGGTCTAATGATTATACCTAAATCCTCATATACACACTGTTTTAATGAGAGCACTGTGGTTTCATAAAACTGGAAACCAATGATATAAAATCCACTTCTAATTGTGAGGTTGCCACTCGAAGAATATGTGATAACACGACATCTGAAAGTCTGTTCCTGTTCTTAGACTTTACATGCTTCAGCGATGAAAACGCTGTCTCGCATATGTAAGTACTTGCAAAAACAGAGCAAAGTTTGAGAGCCCAATTTCGTAACAGTGGGTAACGTTCTGGTGAAAGCAGTTTCCAAAAGTCAATTCCAGTAACCTGAGATGTGTTTAAGGATGGGTCACATTGAAGTTCACAAAGCTCTAATTGCAGATGACCTGGCTGAGATTCTATATCACAATGTATAGGATTACTGAATAAAGAAATATCAGGTCGAAAGCTTTCAAAATCGTTAAATCGTCGGTCGAACTCTGAAGACAAATCTTCAATAATTTCAGTGTAGTCCCTAAACTCCAAGCCTTCTTCTTCTTCTGAGAGTTTCCGACAGCAAGGGAAATGTAGAAGGTTATTTTTGTCCAATGCAGACTTAAATAAATGTAGCTTTTTACGGAAACTGTCAACAAAGCCAACCATCTGACATATTGTCTGCTTCTTGCCTTGCAATTGCAGATTCAGGACATTCAAGTGTTGAGTGATATCAGTGAGAAAGGCCAAGTTTCTCAAGAATTCGACGTCTTCGAGATCATTCTGCAGTTCAGCAGAATTCGTAACCTCTTCTCTTAGGAATGTTGCTATTTCATGACGGAGTTCAAAGAACCGTACCAGACATTTCCCACGGCTTAACCATCTTACTTCAGTGTGCAGAAGCAGGTCCCCGTAAGCAGAATCCATTTCTTCCAAGAGGGTCAGAAATTTTCTGTGAGTGAGTGATCGATTTCCTCCTCTGATCAAATTAGTAATTTTTGTGACAGTAGCCATGGTGGTAGACAGTTTAATTGATTTGGCACATAGAGCCTCCTGATGTATAATACAATGCAAGGTAGGTACAGTAATTTGATTCTGTCTTAAAAATCCAACAAAACCGCTTATTGTCCCTGTCATTGATTTAGCGCCATCTGTTACTATGGAGGACAATTTTTCAAAACCACCGAATTCCTCCACTGCACTCTTAACAGCGTTAAAAATATCGACACCTCTAGTTGTGCTGTGTAAAGAGCACACTTTTAACAACTCTTCGAAAATTGTAAAATCTTCCTTAATTGCACGAACAAATATCAGCAACTGATTAGTATCCGAAACATCTGTGCTTTCGTCGAGAGCAATTGAGAAATAGGAACAATTAGCGATAATGTCTTTCACATTATTAGATATCTGGTTGCTAATATCTTCCAGCCTCCTAGTAACAGTCTGTTTTGAAAGGGGCACTGTTTGAAATTTGTTTCCTACCTTATTTTCATTGAAAGCTTCTGCCATCTTTATCGCACAGTTCTTAATTAATTCACCATCACTTAACGCTTTTTTAGCTTTCATTAATTCATATGTCACGAAATAAGAAGCCAGCAAAGCTTCTTCTTGTTGTTTTGTTTCATTGGTAAAAAGAGATTTCTGCTGGAAAAGTTTTTTCTTTAACTGATCGCAGACTACTTTCCTTGATTCACAAGAGTGTTTTCCGAACTTCTGTTTATGATTTGTCATGTAATGCCTCTTTAGGTTGTACTCCTTTAAAACTGCTAGCACTTGAAAACATACTAAACACTGTGGCTTGTGGTCTTTATTTAATATAAAAAAATAGTCATGTTCCCACTCAGATTTGAACGCCCTATTTTCGCTATCAACTTTTCTCAATTTACTATTTGACATGCTGTATCACTCACAATAACTTCAAACACAATTTTAATTTAAAAACAGTTCTACACTCACACTCCGTAATCACACTTCACTTTCTAAAATCGCACTAACTGGGAGACATTTCTGCTAAAACTGGCACTTAACAAAGGCCAGGATGCCGAGAGAAACGGTAAACATCCCATCGCCGCGAGCAAGCTGGGAATGGTTATTATTTTGAAGGTGTCATAAATCCTTCACCACTACGGTCTTCCCTTCAGTGTCATCTCCCTACAGAAGTAGGGTTGGGGAACTTTGAATTTCCATGACATGAACACAGTTATTAGAAAACCGTTTGAACTGTCCAACTCAGTAAGAACATATACAGTCAATTGCAAAATGCTGTAAGCTAATGAAACGTCCTATTAAAAACTGAATTCTATGCCAATACAGCTGTGAAGTTAAGATTTTTGAAAATAAACCTGAGACATGGCAGGGGGCCGGAGTAAATCAAGTCGCGGGCCGTATCCGGCCCGCGGGCCACCAGTTGGCCATCGCTGCATTACATAGTTACTACTGTCACTAGGCCATGCCATAGCTCAAGCATTTAGTTGCTGGCTTCCACCTTGGTGGCCCAGGTTCAATCCCGGGTCTTGTCAAGTGGGATTTGTGGTGAACAAAGTGGCACTGGGGCAGGTTTTCTCTGAGTACTTCGGTTTCCCCTGCCAATCTTCATTCCGCCAATTGCTCCACAATCACCCTCGCCTATCATCTGGGGCTGGTACAATAGGCCAGATGTGGCCGCAGTACAAGGGACTTAGTCCCACCCCACTAGCAATATAAAAAAATACTACTATCACTGTGCTTCCTTAGGTTACACTGTTTTCTGTGGCTTCAGATGTGCGTACTGTACCAACAATGGATGATTAATGAGTATGGAGCACTGGTGATATAACAATTGGCAAGGGAAGAAAAACTACCCTAGCAGCACTACAAATCCCACATGGACTACCCTCGTCTCTGTGGCAAGAAGCCTGTGATTAACTGCCCAGGTCACGCAAGGCTTACAGTACTTACTGCAGTTCAGTAATGATTCTCATGTCGCCCACCATTTCACAAGTTCATGGCTCCTCCATTTCTATTTTTAGCTCATTGACACTGTTCATATCTCCAGTCAAATGACTGGATGATGATGAATAACAAACTGGAGATGATGCGGAAGTAAGGAGTCATGGCATAAGTTAAGGTACCATCCTACCATTTGCCCCAAGAGACTAAGTAAAACCGCAAAAACCTCAGTATGGATAGTTGGTGTCCCAGCTCAGATATGAACTGGGCAGCTCCGAAACACAAGTCACAGGTGTTACCACTTGACCCAATTTACACATGTTGTTACCGATTGTAGAAAATAAAAGTGAAAGTTAGGGGTGAACTCAAATGGGATAAAGTTCATACCAAATTTCATCAAAATCTGTGACACTGCACACTGTCTTCAATTTTTTTACTTACCTTCATATAGAAAGCATTCATTATGGCCATTTTTTTATATTAGCAATGCTTGCTGCAATAGTCTTTTACTTGCCATGACTATTATATTACTAAACATCATACATTCTTGGTGGTGAGAACTTACTCTCCCTTGTCTTTAAGCCACACTGGATCCAGTTCTTCAGGACTTAGATCCTCTGTCATAAATCCTACTCTTCGACGAGCTTCGGCCTGCTTCTTTAGCCACTAGAAGACAGATGGGGTGTAAATATGTACAGTGCATTTTATATATGACAAAGAACACAGTGGTAACTGATCACTAAAATATAAATGATTGCACCAAAGGACTTGATGAAACAGCCACACAATGGGATCACTCGATCTGGATAATAAAATGTGGAAAATCTTAAGAGGAGGAAATTTCATTGATATTACTGACTCGGGATCACATAAATTGGATGTTCAATGTGCGAAAACATAAAGCAGGGAACATTATTGGGGGGGGGGGATTCCAATGAGACTGCTTACTGTGAGACATTAAACTGTTGCACTATGAACAATTTGGGCTAATTAATCTGAACATTTGTAAAACCTCTTTATGGAATCTTTATGGAATACAGCCTGTTGCATGATCAAACTAATCAATTATCATGTTCTGCCTAACATAACACAGAGAATATTAAAACATTCAATTTATTTTATTAAAATCACAACATGTTTCAACCATTTTATCTGGTCATCATCAGGTGAATACAAATATTTTATGAGTGCTCTATTGAATAGCAATCGCTTTACCTCTCATATGGGGTCTTGACAATAGTTCCTGTTTGATGACAGTATTAATATGGATAAAATCTACATATAAAACGAAGCTGGTGCGTGGATTAAGTAAAATTGAACAACCCTGGGGTGACCCAGGGTAAATGAGTCTGAAGCTACAAGGGTATGATCCCTTATTCCATTTGTTGCTGGGTGGTGAATGTGATAAACATGTGACGTTTAAGGATGGACTGGTGGATGTTTGCTAGCCTAACCTTACTCTTGAACGGTGTAGCTGTGTAGATTAATTTGTAAAACCTTATTACCTCCTCTTCTTCTTGAGCCTGTGACTCACGCTTTGGTGTAGGAAAATCTCTAGCAGTGAAATGAACTTTAACTATGCCAAAGTTTCGTGGAAATGGTATAGGCTTCACATTTTCATCTGGCTCCACTGTAGGTGTGGGTTTATTTACAGAAGCAGTCTTCTGAAAGGGTACCACCTCTTGGTCCACATGATCTGAAACCACACCATTATAATCTAACTGTCTTTAAGCGTGAAATGATGTATAGAGTTCAAAGACATAAGCACAGCGTGAATTCAAGTTGGCCTATTCCTCTGTCCTGTAATTTATTACCTTTCCTTCCAAACCCAGACATATGCAAATATAGGTGTTGTTACCAACTACTTACCCCCAAGTTATCAACATTTCAGTCACACAGCTTCTTTGTTTCTTTGCCTCATGACTTTGTTTTGTAAACAGTACAAATTACATAAAAGATTATAATTTGTGGGCTGGGCTCAAGCACAGGTTCTCTGCTATAAGTGAACAATGCATTATTATCCATGTCCATGCATAAATATGTGCTAAATTTACTTTACACAGGCTATGGATAAGTTTCCACAAGAGCATTTGGTGTTTTATATAAAACTTAGGTGATGTACAATTCCACTAATAAGAGTGTGATGAAGTTCAAAATAAAGTTTCTTAGAGTCTGAGTTTCCATTAGAAACACTACTCATAATATAATCATAATGATTCAATGTGAGTGCCTCTCATATGAAAAGGAGGGCTAAACCCTGTGTTGGGATGTTAAGTTAAAAAGAAATGATCAACTGAGAAACTTCATGAATAAATTTTAGCAGACAAGTATCAGACATGGGAGGAACTGTAATACCTATTCTTCAATACAAAGAGGTTGCAAATGAGTGCGAATAAAAGAATGCCCAGTAGACCTTGTTTCTGGTTGTTATAATTTCACCAGTTGTAAATATATTTTATCACTAATGCAGTCTTTTGTGTTCACCATGAATTATCACCACCTCAGCAGGAATTATGTAAGTGATAAATAACACAACACTGGACAAAAAACAGAGAAAAACTAAAAGCCCCAGACATACCTGTATTGAAATGTGTTAAAAAATAGATTTGATTTAATTTAAAAGAAATAAAATAGATCAAAATATTTAAAAATTACACCATTTGATAAAAGGCATAATGTGGAAAACAGCTGTATCAGTTGAGTATCAAATTATATTACAAACTGATTTTTAATCTTTATCATCTGCTACTATGGCACTGGCAACCAGATTTCAACTCGAAGGCAACAGTATTTATATTGTAAACAGCCAAATGTGAACGTGTCGTCGTAGTAGCACAATGCACAAACTGTAAAGGTGCAAAAACATGGACATATCACACAGACAGATAAAAAAAAAATTACTGGAGACAAACCTAAATTTTCACTGCTGTAATTGAAAGTTGTAAAACATAACATCAATTTTCAATCTACATATGAGGTTCTCAGGAGCTGGGATACCATAGTCGGTATAGTGGCTGGCTATGGACTGGACGACCGAGGGGTTGGAGTTTGAGTCCAGGTAGGGTCAAGAACTTTCTGGGGTCTACCCAACCTCATATCAAATGGGAACCAGGGGTTCTTTCCCTGGGGATAAAGTGGTAAGGGTGTGAAGCTGATCACTCACCTCTAACTAGTGCCAAGGTCAAGAAAATGTGGATCTATATATTTGCTCCCCAGTGTGCCTTCATGGCATAGTGCGTAATTAATTAAGCACAGGGGCAGCTCTACTTCACTTTTACATATGAGGTTCTCATAAAAAGAACTTATTTCACCCTAACATGATGGGCTTCTGTAATGTCACAACATGTAGACTATTCTATCCTGAAGACAGAGGCAGCAAGACCCTCCAAAATGTTGGTATGCCATCTAACAAAATACACAGCATCACTTCACAGAAGAATGTCATCTTGATGTTCACCATCATATGAACCTCAAACCTCATGCACTTAATTTCTATCACCCATAATTCACTATTTCATACCTTCCTGGTCTCTCTAGTCAGCTACGCATCTTCTTCATTTACATTAAGCTTCCAGTTCTTCCAGTGCTGCTGTAGTCAGTGAGATCTCATGGACAAAATAACATTTGCAGAATCTATACACATGTCACCAAACATCATGATTAAGTGGTTACAATTTTGCTATATTGTAATGTGTTTGCTGGTTACTGATCCCACTTCTGACACCAGAGTAACGTGTTGACGTTACCGAAGACGCCGTAGAGATGGTTAACTGGTTTATTTAACAATCTACAACTAACGTGAGTGGTCTCAGCCTCAAATCTAGGCTTGGCAATTGGATATTCTCAAAGTGGTTTTTCGAGGTTTTTGTCAGTGAATTCAGGGGAATTCCAGGACAAAGAACAGTGGAGTTATACTTCCATTTCTGTACATGGAATACTTTTCATGGCATGGTGCTTAATTAATTAAACACAGAGAACTTTACATTACAGTACCCCAAATTCAGCCACAAATGCTTCCTTCCACATATTTTCCAATTTACAAACAAAAAACAACAAACTCCATGGCTGTAGTCCGCAAGCGAACTATACCAACTGAGTGACTGCCGCTTGTCGGCGAAGTAAGTGCCAACTTTAGCGGGACAGAGGGTGTCGCGTGGTCAGCGCAACAAATCCCCATGGCCGTTAATTTCGGTTTTCTAGACCAAAGCCGCTACTTTTCCATTCAAGTAGCTCCACAATTATCCTCACAAGGCTAAGTGGTCCCCATTCCAGACCAACTACTTCTCAGAAAATCTGGTAGCACTGGGAATCGAATCTGGGACCTCTGGATCTGCAGCCAGGAACTCCAACCACTGGACCACAGATGTGATCTTTTCCAGTTTATTATGCATTAATCATACTATCATTCAACAGTATCCAATATGAGTTACTGTGCTGTTAAATCAATTATAAATATATAATAAGTACACACATATCATCATAGCTGACCCTTCTATGACCTATTTGTCCATTACATCTGAGTAACTGGCAGTACTGACAACAGTAACCTAACTGACTCTGCAGTAACATATATGGCAACCACTAATTTTCCTGGATAAAATTCTCACTCATAACAACTATTAAAATGTAAAAGTAAAGTTGGGACAACTTAATTAATTAAGCACCACGTGATGAAACTGTATGGGGGAGTGGAGATATAGATCCACCATTCTTGACCTCAGCATCAGATGGAGGTGAGCAGTCAGCTTTATGCTCCGACAGCTTTAGCCCTGGAGATACAGCCTCCGATGCACACTGCATAGGAACCCCATAAATACTACAAAATTAAGTAAAGTTGTCCCTGTGCTTAACGAATTAAGCATTACGCCATAAAGATGTATAGGGAGTGGATGTATAGATCCACATTTTCTTGACCTCGGCACTAGTTGAAGGTGAGTGGTGGGATTCACGCACCGGCCACTTTATCCCCAGGGAAAGAGCCCCCAGTACCCATTGGATAGGAGGTAGGATGGCCTCAGAGCCAGTCTGGAAGACTTGGAAAAGAGAAGTTCTTGACCCTACCGGAACTCGAACTCCACCCCTTGGTCGTTCAGACCATAGCCAGTCGCTATACTGGCTATGCTACCTCGGCTCACCATAATTACTACCATTATCTTTTACTGTCAATGAAGTGATTAATATAACTGCTCACTAGCCTTGCATTAAAAATGAACACAGGTGAAAACAGCACGATAAATCCAACCTCTACTAAACTTGCCTTTGTTTTCTTCTCTTTGATTTGAAACCTTCCATTCTTCAATCTCCTTTATGGCAGTTTTCTTTACATTTTCTTTAATTTCTTCAATAAGTTGACGGTGATGAGTATCAATAGAAATCTGTTGCCTCACAGCTAACCGGTCCAACTCTGCTTTCTTCACTGCAAATTAACAGTTGTACCAATATCATTAATATTGTTACTACAGTTACTCAATTCTGAAAGTGGCGCTCGCACGTCACAGGCTGTTAGTATCATATTGTTATTATTGATTGCACAAAATGTAAAAGTACAAACTTTGTGTGCCCTCCAATAGCATTACATTCATAAACAATTTCACCAAAATCCATATAGCACTTCTAGGATTTGAGGTTCTCACAGCAGTGGTTATGCAGAGTTCAATCTCCTGGGACATAATGCTGTGTAGTTCACTGAAAGTTAACTGTTGTTGTGGAGGAATATATTGCATCCATCTTCAGGTGACTGGTTATGATTTCTCTTATTTCAATTATTTATGCCCTTACATGTTTTGGTCTTCAGAGACCATCATCAGAGGGACACCTTTACATCAATACAGTTGGAAGCTACTATTACAATATATGTTCTGAAAGTTAAAATGTATACATATAAAATAATATATATTATGTAAATATAATATGTAATTTTAAAATGTATACATATAAAATATCTCCACCTTTATGTTCAAGATCCTTTCATATTAATATTTGATAGACTTCCTTATTCTCAAATTCGTATATTTTTTTTCTAAAAATCTACTTAAGTAGAGGTGGCTGATTCCCTTCCCCCACAAGCACCTATGAGTTATACCAAAATTTGAGCCAACTAATGAAAATTCCTTATTATTTAATCAAATCAGGAAGACAAATTGTTTTCTAACCCCAAAGCTCGATTCTAATACTGTAATGAGTACCATACTTCTAAATGTACTGACCAAAAGGTATTCAAAAATTATTAATATGAAAGATTCAAGATACAACAAAACCAAACAAGTGATGTTCAACTTCATATAATTGTACTGAATTCTTATTCACATACCACGCTTTCTCTCCTGTTCTGCTTTTGCTTTCTCTTGGGCTCTTTCTAAAATCTTCTTACGCATTTCTTGTTGTTCCACTTTGCTCAAATTAGCTTCCAAGTCATCCCAAGAAGCATGTTCCACCTTTTGTAATTCAAAAACAATTTCATCATCTACCAGGGTGCATTTGCTCTGCGGTTCCTTCACTGAGGAGAATAGAAAGACTTCAAACAGGAATGGATGAAAATATGCCTATCAAGAAGTAAAAAAATTACACTTATTAACACATACATTAAGACAGAATAGAGGAAAAACGCATCTGTCTTACATACTATCTACACAGGACTCCAATATACCTTTATATAGTTATCAGAAGTAAATATATCAACCTTTCTGTAATGCACTCCTTTCAATGGTACCCTGATCACTACCACATTTTCAGTCTGTCTCCAACTATATTCTTTCACCAGAAGTGGCATTTCAAATATAGCAGTATAATGTCTAATTACTATTAATTTCTGTTATACAACTATTATCATTACTGGCTGCATGTTAAGACTGTCAAACTTGCTGACAATTTTATTTAAACTGCTAAATACACAAGAACACAAGTTTCATAACCTTATAATTTCTGCCATGTTGTTGACACTACTTGCATCATTCAAGTATTATAATACCCACTGCAGAAGGAACACATGTTGGCATATTATATTTTTATACATAAATATCATGCATTTATTAATGTTATGTGCTGCATCACGTTATTAAGTTTTGGAGATAGAAATATACACTGAGATATTCCGCCATTTTCATAACAAGAAACAGTGGGTACATTTAAATTTTATATAGCAGAATGGGCAAGTATGTATTACTTTCATATAGTTTTTATAGAGGAGAAGGAATAATGAACTTTTACACGTTTCATTCATGACACTATTCATTTTTTACATTTATTTATCACTAGGGCCCGGATTTTTATGACCTAAAAACTATAAATATATGTATGCACTTATGACCCAAAATTATGTCAAATATGACCTAAAAAGTGTAAAATATGACCTTAAATATTAAATGGGACATAAAATTTCACAATTTTAATTACAACTTTTACTAGAGTTTAAGAATAAAGATGATGAATATATGATAGTAGGTCCTACTTACCAAATTAGCTCTGTTATGTCTCTGAAGGAAAGAAAACTGATGGAATTTCGACATTTCGTACTGGATTAAACCATTCATTGTTTTCTTTTTAATACTGATATTTGCATTCATATTTTAGACAAACACTGGTGCACATGGTATGAACACTAACTTAACTCTGTTATCTAAAAACACCATTTAAAAGAACACAAGTTATTCACGTCTCAATTTTCACTGTTATAATTGCAGTTTATAACTACATGAATTTTCATATTTTCAAATTTGAAAGATCGCCGATTATCACTAAGGATAGTTTTGTATTTGGAAAAACTTCGTTCCACATCACATGATGTGACAGGAGCATATTTGAAGAATGTCAAGTCGTTTGGTGACAGTTCTGTATCATCTTCGAATGTTGCTAGTTTACCGGAAAGTATATCTGCAATCTTGCATAATGTTGAATAACCAGCATTCCGATGAAGAACACTTTCTATTTTGGTTTTAATCCTGTCACTTATTTCACCACGAGTTCGGTTTAGTTCATTCTCAGTGCTCTTTACAGTGTCCAACGCATCACAGAGTTCAGTCCCTACAAATTCCAGGCGAGTTATTGCACCTGAAATTGAACAGAAGTTTGACTTTATGTATGCCAGATTTTGTGCTAGAGTGGTAGAGAATAAGTCCTTGACAGCTTTAATTGATGTTGACTCACTGCTGTCAAAGCCATTAAACATTTTCTCAATGGCTGTGTAATTTTCACAATAATATGCCACAGCATCCAACCATGTACCCCACCGTGTGACGACAGGCTGTGGAGGAAGTGGCAGTAGAGGAGCTTCTTGTTTAAATTTCTGCACTCGAAGAGGGGCCTTGATGAATATTTTCTTTCCGTTTGAAACTAGCCTATCTACATCAGGAAAATGTCCTCGAACTTCTTCAGCCACTCTATGCAATGCATGAGCGAGGCAAGTAATATGGACCATTTTCGGGTAGAGGATTCGAAGTCCTTTGGCAGCCTTCTTCATGTATGGAGCGGCATCTGTTACTAGGAGAAGGACATTATTTCGCTGTATTCCATTTGGCCACAACAACTTCATGGAATTATCAAACAGGACAGCTATAGTCGAATGATTTGCTCTTTCGAGAACTTCACAGTCAAGAAGAAATCTCTCTCCAGGTTGATCTTGTTTCAGGGTCCCAACTATAACATTCGCAATATACCGCCCATCTACGTCAGAAGTCTCGTCCAAGGAAACCCATATCTTGTTGTCAGCAACAGATGTTCGAATCTTATTTAACATATCTTCATAACATGTAGAGAGATAATTCTTTCTTAACGTCGATTCACTTGGGATAGGATGACTAGTGTATGTCTCCAAAAATTGTCTGAAGTGCTGATTATGCAATTTCTCTAATGGAATATTCGAAGATACCATCCACTGACACAAATCCTTCGAAAATTCCGACCCATTGTTCATTGAAGAAGGTGAAGCAGAAGAAGAAGAAGAAGAAGAAGAAGAAGAAGAAGAAGAAGTAGTGGAACTGTTTTTAAACAACAAACTTTGTCTGCTATCCTTTGTAGATAATCTGCTTAAACATTTACCATGTTTAAAAGTTTTACAATGCTGCTGCACAGTAAATCGCTTTTCTGCCGTAACTTTCACGCCACACAACTTACAATAAAATATCTTGCCATCGGTACTAAACACTTTTTCACCAAACTCCTGTACAAAACTACGCAACTTTGCGCTCCTTGAACTACATGTACTCACTTTAGGCATTGTAAAGTCAAACTGAAGTCTTATAACGCCCTCCACATATATAAATAGAATACTTCTAAGCCCTCCAAGAAAGAATGGGATGTATATACCTTATAGTAAGACGGAGTACAATAGGAGAATACCCGTTACACTTGCCTCCCTCCTGCCTCGACTGGGAAAGGCCGGCTTGCCAGGTCATAAATGCTGCATTTCACAAATTTTCGCCTTTGTAACTGCAAGTACAGTCCAGTCAAAAATATGGTTTTTAATGCGAACTTCATGTACTTGAACTCTATTCCACATTGAAGCAACAGTCCAGCCTGGAATTTATTTTGTAATACTAAACATTATGGAGCCGAAATTTTACATTATATCAAAGAATTGTTTCTAAAATGACAAAAATATGACCTTATTTCAAAATTATGCCAAAATATGCTGTAAAACCAATAAAACTCTAAAATATGCATTTATATGCACAATAAAAACGACATAATTTCAATAAGAATGACTGGAAACATGCATAATTACATTTAAAAATAGGAATAAACCCTAGGAAAAAAATATGACATGTCATAGAAAACCGGGCCCTATTTATCACAATATTGATCTATAATTAAAAAGATACTTCATATTTAATTTTGTATCAGCTAATTATACACAGTTGTCAATACTAACTAACAAGAGCCACTTACTTGATAAAATATTTAATGAATTAAATTAAACATGATAATTGAGGCCAGTATTTATGCAAATACAATGTGCATATTATGCCAAAAGCATTAATAATCAACTGTACACATCTATTCATCTTCACAACTTAACATATAATCTGATAAAAGAAGAAAACAGGGTAATAATTTATGCATAGAAATAAGATTTTTAAAAAATTATTTCTCATTTGATATTATGTAATGTGAATCAACATTGCAACAGTTGATTTTCATGTACCACTTAAATGGAATAAATTATCAGTGCAGTTTGTTTCTGTTGCATAAGAAAACACAGTTAACAATATGGATGGAAGCTTATTACAGTAACATGCCAAATCAGTTACTGGTAGCTTTTAGTTCTATCCTGAGGTTGAAAGCAGCTAGTTTCTCCAAAACACTGAAACCTAGCAGATTACATGGTGTTGTGTGGTTTTACCTTTGTTGTTCGTCATTACTCCGATGACAACCCACTTCTTCGGAAAAGTTTGTTGGTCCTGAAAAGGACCGTGGTTACTGAGCTGCTTGACCGGTGAGGTAGCGCGGTGCACGCCGATAGGGAGATAGGTTAGTTGCAGTGATTTGACTGGCCACAGCACGGCCGTTGCTGGAGGTTGCTTGATCGCCGTGTGGCAGGTGAGTTGAAATTGCGTGGTCACGCAGCGCGGTCATAGGAGTGATGAGGCAGTGGCTACACCAGATGCCCAGTGAGTCGGACAGGGACACGATCACCGGTGAGTCCAGGCAAGGTGCCCCAGTGAGTTGGGTGCAAGAGCCGGAGGGCTGAGGCAGTCATGCCTGGCGCAGCCTGCCGATGCCTCCGAAGACTGAGCGCTGGTGACGAAGCCTGCTGGCTGATGTTGCTCGAGTGTGGCTTGATCATAGACTGAAGTCAGACTGATGCTGCCGGTTTGGGGCTGCTCCTTTTTATACACTGCTCGGTGGGCGGAGCGAAACTTGAAATTGAGGAGGAAGAATTTGCAGGGCACTGATTGGCTAGTGCGCATGATGATGTAGTTTCAGGGCTAGCAGCGAGCGCAGTATAAATGCGAACGTTTGGAGCAATTTGATTGGTTAGTGTGCGTGATGGTGAAAAGTGATGTGAAGAGTGTGCGTTGCAGAAAATGCGTGATAATGTGGGATGTTCCCATAGTGTCATAATCCAGGAGACCACAATTTATTTTTTCACATTTACCTTGAACACAGTGCAGCATTCAACACCAGAATAATAGTCACCATCTAGCAGACTATGCAATGTTGTAACTCAGAAGACTACAACTCTGGAATTTTATTGAAAATATATTGAAATGTAACATAGTTCAATCAATGCCAGATTAGCCTCTAGAGTTACTCTAGGGCCACAGCTCAACACAGTTTTTTTAAAGATTTAATAGGATATATTACTTTTCATATGTCACTCATATTCAAATACACTTCAGCTCTGTGTGTGTAGCAAGAAGTAGAAGTGGACCTCTAAAAATGCATGTACTGGGGCCATAGACAGCTGACTCTGACATTGAATTCCATACATATAGAAACAGATGTGATCAAACTGTGGCTTGCAAGTTGCATGCAACTCTCTTGAACTGTTAGTACTGCTTTCAGAAAAAAAAATATCAGTCAATCCTCCTCTTACTAATGGAGCTGAGCCCTTCTTGAGAAGCTCCCAATTGTGCAGCTACTCAAGAACTTCCCAGCATTTTATGGAACCCAAAGGTTCATTACCGTGTTCACAAGAGCCCTCCACCAGTCCCTATCCTCAGCCAAATCAATCTAATCCATACCATCCTCCCCCCCCCTCTCTTTGAGATCCATTTTAATATTGTCCACCCATCTACGCTTTGGTCTTTCCAGTGACCAAGATGTAGGTAAACATAAAAAATCCCTTGCATGGGAAGTATGTACCTAAAATGTCTATGCCATCCAATCCACATCTATGTGTAGTTGCTGATCTTCTAAAATATTATATTTGGCTCTGATATTCATTAAATTTGATCATCCCTGACATACAGCAAATATGGAAAGCAAGTTATACTGTAGTTTACAGAGCCAT